TACATCCGGGATCTTGAATGTAAATCGACTGTATGAATCGAAGTTTCCATGCGACGATTTATGTAGAGAAAGCGAGAGTCTTACGGAGTAAGTTGACAAATGTTTCGCCCGTGTTAAGCGTAGACGAAATATCATGAGTGCCTCTCAGAAGTGTTGTGTTGCCGCAAAAGTCATGATTTACTGAAGGTGTTGACAGACAAAACTCAGGTATGGGGTTGAGCTAGTGTTACCAGAAAACTTCCTGCCAAGCATAAAAACGCCCTGTGAGTGTTTAGACGTGTAGGTGATTTTGTCTTAGAAAGCCTATTCTGTGCTCAAATATTGTGGATTTTAAATCTAGTGTTTTTGGCAGTGAATAGCTATGGGTCTCATGGTTTAACTGACTAAAAAGTAAGTACTTTCCCGACGTTTCCAATGTTGTTTACTTCATCGCAAAATCCTGCATGTTACTTCTGGGAGAGAAATTTACCGTCTGTAAATGTCAGCAATAAATTAAAGTTGTGATGTTGAGCTTTAGCTAGAAACTTTTCACTGTTGTCCATACGACTTAGATAATCAAATTGTTAAAATGCTGTAAGGAGAGATTTTCCATGAATTCTTTATTTGCCTCGAATATCATATATAGCTTTCAAATATTCGCTTTGACGTTGTTCTTAGTAATTCATACTGAATTTGCATAAATAAGTTTTAGCTCCGCAAAAGGGCTCGTGCCATTTTTATTATCCTTTGTTCCATTTGCTTTGTGTTCGCTAGGTAATAATCATAGAAAAGCCAACAGTGTTCCTTAACAAACAAAACTAATTGCTCGTTCTCTTTTCGGTTATATACATTTTACGTCAATGTTGACTCTTGAAAGAATACTTAATTTCTTAATAATGGCTTATTTGACTTCAGTCTATTTTTCGTGATTTAACTACCAGACGACACCTATTGATGGTAACGCCTTTGATACAGGTGTACCTCGTTCTAATTGCAACTTAGTTATATTTATTTGCGAAAATATATTTCATTAAATTGTTAGTTAAGGAGAGGTGATAACCGAATTTTGAATATGAAAGGTTTTTGCTGTCTTGTAATTTTAAGAATAGATCGGTTTTTGTTTAAGGTGAAAACTTCCAATTAGTCTGCGCTTTTCCTGTTTAAACAGCCGATAGCTGAACTTGCAATTTAATTCATATTGTAACACTTTGTACATAAACGCTGTTTTGCTGACCTGGCTAGGTCTTTGTCTCAGTACTTTTACTTTCTAAAATAGCAACAGTAACAAAAGATTTCAGGTTAAAAATAGAATTTGTATTTAGTTTTCATTTAACTCTAAGTGATTTCTGTTTATATTTCTATTGTATTCTTTTGTCTTCAATGGTTGTAAAAATCATATATAAGTAAGTTAGTTTTTACTGATTTTTCGATTACATTGCCGATTACATCGCCGATTATTTCGCCGAGTCCTAGCCGAGTTATTGCTGTTTGATCCGCTGAAGAATAAACGCTGTTGGAACCAAGTTTAGTCTGTTTTATCTACTGCTGTACCAGTTAGTGGTCTGATCCCGGACCTCGAGAGAAGTGACGGCTCTTCCTCGCAAGCGAGTTGCCATTTGAGTCTAGTTTTCCCCAGTTTTATCGTGAGTCAAGCACCGAGTTCCCGTTGAGCTTTAAATTCGTTTCAAAGTGGAAAAACCTTCCGTCACAATGCACTTGAAATTTCTTTAGCCACGTTTTAGCAAGTTCAGTCAGATCTACAAGGTTAAGAATAATATTTGTCCTCGACACATTGCTGACCTTTTCCAGAGGACAGACACCAAATATCCACTGAGGAACAATACCTTGATTAAATACGATTACACATGGCGGAAGGCTTCTATTACGTATACTGGCCCTAAGGTAAGGAACCTACTGGCTAAAAGGATCAGGGACCTTCCTAAACTATCTGTGTTCAAGCAGTATATTCGACAGCTTGACCTAAATTCCTTGCTTGCTGACGCTCAGTGCTGAAATTGCACTCTATGTAGTGCGTAATAAACAAACAACTATTTTTTTACGAAGCTCATACGCACTTGTAAATAGTTGTTGTTGTTTTTTTTTTAATGTAGTAATAATATAATATACACATGTAATAATCTTATAAATTTTACACTCGGTCTCTGGTCAATAATGGTACACTTGTAAATAGTTTTATTAATTTGATTTGAATTGCTACAATAGTTGCTTACTTTTATTCAAAGTTTTCCCATTTAGTGTTCCCCTACTGCTATGTTAGTTTCACACCCAAATAAAGGTATTGAATGACTGATTGATTGATTGATTGGTTCATGATCCGCGGGTTTTTGGCCCGTGTTCATCTTTTAATTTCGTTTTGCTTTCAAAAAATCATAACGTCAAAAACCAGCCCTGCGGTTACACCTATACAAGAACAAGTTTTCTTCAAAGAGGTAAACTACATTGCTGCTTAAGCTCCATTATGTTACGTGCTACTTGACTCACAATTTTAATTGTTATCGCACACGCGCGAGGAAGGTACAGCTCCTATGACATAAATATCTCGCTACTGTTTTGCAGCAAGTATACGTTTCAAAAAGTAGGGTCACGTTCTGCAGCTAAAATAAGAACGAAAATGGGGAGTCCTCCCTGAGGACTAACCCCTTAACCATTTACACACCATTTTTGACATAAAAGCGGAGGTACCCTTTCGTATACCGTCTATTAGCCTGAACCAAAGCCGGCAAACACCGTGAACGCCGCATAAGCCCTCCTCTTCAGTTATGCATGGGCCCATATCATGGCTTTAAACGAAAAAAGTAGCTCCGAATATAAGCCCCATCGGGTATAATAAGCTCCCTTCTCGCTTGAACTGAATTGAATTCTCTTTATAGCTTTAATTAACGACCAGTAAATGTAAAAACACCTGTTTTGATCAGCACTGCTACAGCTTATTTCGAAGCGCTTTTTCTATGTCATCTATAGGCCTTCTCGGATGTTAAATCCCCCCCGTTTATACGGGCCTTCCTAAAACCCCTGAAGAAGAAGTATAGCTGACAGTTTATGGTAATAGTTTATAATGCTGAAGACGATCTGTTAAGAATGAGCAGCATTTAAGAGGAGTGGAAATAACTCAATGTCTGTTGGTTCATAGCCGTAAAAAAACTGTTTACTTCTTGTTCTTGTTCTATTTTATTATTTTTGTGTGTGTGTGTGCGATCAATAATGTCATTAACGTCACAGTAGTAGAGGAAGGAGATATTTTTGTACCTCTCACATATATCTAGCACTAACAGAAAGTCGTCTTGTCGTTTTCATGTAGCGTTTAAATTCAATTTAAGTGTAGTTTCAGTGGCTATAAAATTGCCAAATTTGAAAGCGATACGTCTTAAGCGTGCAGAGATATAGCTCAGCAAAGTTCAGTGTGAAAATCTACAGACCTAAAGTTGTACGTGGTGGGGGAGGGAGACGGAGGGAGCAAGTTTGTGCCGGCCCCCATCATACAAATGTCTGTAAAATGTCGCAACTTTGGAGACTTATATCTTCGTCAGTTTTCAACAATCACTTTCAAAAATTGGCAGTGTTACTCATTTTAAGGCGTCCTTTCCAGTGGTGCCAACTGCCGATATATTTTTCTTAACTTCTCAATATAAAAAGTAGACAGAAAGAAAGTAACGTGAAATAGTCTATACTGAATTGTAAGAGGTACCCTTTAGGGAAACATTAGGGAAGCACCTCCCCGTATAGGTTTATATGGGGAGCCCCCCTCCCCAACTCACCCCCTCCCCCTTCAATGTATAAGATATGGGGGTTTAAAAACAAACACACTGTCTAACACCAGACACGTTAAAGCTTGTTTAGCTGGAGCTTAATGGAGCCGCTACTTTTCCGACATTACATAGCCAACTTGGACTGAAGGCAAAGTACTATTTTTTGGCGCTCTAAATAGGAAAGGCATCGGGTACAGTTAGAAACACAAAGTCGTGATAGCATGCATAAAACTTTGTTGCTTTAAAGAATTTATGTTCTGCCATTTATTTTTGGAATGTTCATCTTTTGACCCTGTTTCAGCACCCTGAAGCGAGCATAAACAGAGAATAAGAAGATGCAAAAAAAATTGCCATAAAAGGAAAAAGAAACAAGCAAAAACAAACAAACAATATACCGGAACAGAGGATTTACTTAAAATATTTGCTATAAAATGATGAGCACGTAGCACTGATTTCAGTAAACGCTGTGTTCTCTTTCTATTCTCACCGCCATGGTTCAGTATTTCGTTGTTTTTCTGATTCTCTCTTTTTTTGGCGGCTCTCTGGGAACAATCACCTCACCTCAGCAACAAAACGCCTCAAAGTTAAAAGACTTATGCCAGGTAAGAAATGCATAAAGATATAAAAAGGAGAACTTAACTGCATCGTAGATTAGGTACACCGAGAAACCGTTTTATTATTCTCACGTCGTTATCATCATTTACTTAAAACTACCCGTTAAAAGTTTATGGCAGTTTCTTTAAATGTCCTCGCTTCAGCATGATCTTTCCTCGAAGACCTTAAACCTGTCCATTGTTTACTGTTAATTTTCTCTCATTCCGTCCACGTCCATTCGAGGTGAGATAACACTTTAAAGAGGATTATGATATCCAAGGTCCATTCCGTGCCTCGAAAACAAGGAAGACGACCAACGGGTATAAACTTTGTCCACTTTGGTCTGAAATCATTATTTTCGAGTGAGCTTCTAGCGTGTATAAAAGTATTTATTGTGTTAATTCCAAATGAGAAGGAAAGAGAAATTATCATGCGAATTTTTTTTTGTTGCTGTTCTAAATTAGTCTAAGTATAAATGATGACATGCGTAATTTAATTCGTAGAGACAAGGCCTGAAAACTGTTATGGATTTTACAGGCCAAGTATGGAAACTGGTGTAAAAAAATGACGTGTTTTGGTCTGAAATAGAGTCAGGATTTGGAGGCACACCCCGCGACTGAAGAATTCCCAGGAGTACCCCCCCGAGTTATTTAAGATCCCATGTCGTCTTCGTCTCTGCTAATTCTAAGTGATCGTTACTTTCAGCGATGTATGCTGAGTTTCCCTGGTATTCCAGGATCAAATGGTATACCGGGGGCCACACGGACCCCAGGGAAGGGAAGGTGCAAAAGGACACATAACGCCGAGATAGCGCTTTAAATAGGATTATGGTATCCAAGGTCCATTCCGTGCCTCGAAAACAGGGAAGATGGCTGGCGGGTATAGACTTTGTTCATTTTGGTCTGGAATCATTGTTTTAATTTGAGGAAACTACGGGCGTGTATTAACGGAGATATCCTTTCAATTCTAAATGAAAAGGAAAGAGGAATAATTATGCAAGTTATTTTCCGTTGCTGTTCTAAATTAATTTAAGTAGTGATGACATGCACAATTCTTAGAGAGCCAGGCATTGCGGGCATGAAAGGAGAGCAAGGAGCTGTGGGAGTGAAAGAAGAGCGAGGCATTGTGGGAATGAAAGGAGTGCGTGGAGCTGTGGGAATGAAAGGAGAGCGAGGCATTGTGGGAATGAAAGGAAGAAAAGGAGACAAAGGAGAGAAAGGAGAAAGCGCCAAAGCAAGTCAAGCAAGTGTAGTACCACAAACCAACTGGAAACAATGTGTGTGGAAATCACACAGCAATACTGATAACGGAAAGATTAAGGTAATTAGAATAAGAATCATAACACACTCCTAAGAAAATTTGTTCTTTTTTGAATTAAAATATTTCAAAGAAGAACGTCTCCCCTGTCATTCACCGTTTGCCAACATATTACGTAAATAACTATTTAGTTACATTTCCCTCAATTTTGGTTCTTTTTGAACGAAAAAAAGAAAAACCATCGTGCGTGATAAAATGATTCCTGGGGATATGCATAAAGACAAGAAAAATTTAAGCTATTACAGAGTTTTTAAACATTAGGGAGTAATCTTGACTGGAGTTGTTAGTATCAATCATTACACACGGTTGCTCGCCTTAACACAATATGTTTGATTTGTTTGCTTTTATTCCAGGACTGTGCGTTTAACAAACTGCAGTCTAATTCAGCGCTCAGAGTCTCATTCCATGGAAACATGAGGGTCCCTGGTAATGTTAAGTGTAATCGCTGGTATTTCAAGTTCAATGGAAATGAATGCAGTGGCCCAATGACGATTGATGCTATTGTTTACCTCGACTGGTCATCTGGGAACCTTGATCTGTGGCATCATCGGTCATTTGAAGGGTACTGTGAAAACATTCCACAAGGGGCGGTTAGAGTGGAATTATGGGTAGGACAGTGTAGTGGTCAAACCTTGGGTGATGCTTACACTGGGTGGAATTCAGTATCTCGGATAATGATCGAAGAAGTATCTAGGCCCCAGTCCTCATAAGGGGAGTCTTTAACTTTGGCGCTGTTTTATTTCCTTAGAATAGCATTCTACAATACAGACTGTAAAGCGCAAGGTGTGAAAGTATTGTTTTTGGTTATTTTCTTTTCAGCCCTTTGTGAACTACTTTCGTCGTATATCAGATTGTCAATAGTAAACTATAATAACAGTATCAAGATTTTGTATTATTATGTCGGCATGTTAGTCCTGCGCAGCAGTTCTTTGTTTTGTCACGCAGCTAGTGCTTTTCTAGCTTTTCTGCGGGGAGGCACCTTTCGTGACGACACAATAACTGGCTGTGCCCGTAGGGAATTGGTCTTCCATGCAGCCGTTTGTCTTGTCACGCACTGCTACTTCTCGTTGCTTGACGAGACAAAATGGCTGTAATTAAGAGCGACTGATATTGGCAATACTTTATGTACGTGATATGTTATGGATGCAAAATTTATCACTACAGCTTCAGGGGAACCCATTCTTTCTCGGGTTACCATGTATATCATCCGATTGTCGGTCGTTTCCTAAGTCTATAATATGTAGTCAAAGTAGAGGTCGTGATATAATCTTTCATCTTAACGATGAAAAAAAAAAATAATAAAAAATAAAAAAAAAATAAAAAATCTGCGGAGGAGGTGACAGCATTTAAACTCTTTAATCCAATCCGGAAGTGAAAACGATTTAATCAAATCGTGCTCAAACGGCACGATTCCTTTCGCAGCCGAACCGCTTCGTGGCAAGACCATTATCAAAAGCGGATTAGATCTCGAGGATTAAAATCGCACCTTGTAAAATTTATATTAATTAGCTAGGAAGATGAATTTGATGATAGAATAACTTGATTATCTCTAGCATACGACCGCGCGCGAGGGAGAAGCGAGGAGAGGAACGAGTTCTCCATCCTCATTCCTCGCGCGCCCGCTTCACGCTTCTCGCGCACCCAAAATCTCCTTTTCCTTCCTTTTGGAACGCCTGACACGCAGGCTAGATTAGCTCTCAAACAGTGGAAAAATGGAATGTTTTTATTCGTAACATGAAGATTCTTGTCAAACCTTTGCATTACCTTAATGGCATCTTTGTTTTATTTCTTGTATGTCAGTTTAGTGTGCTTCAATGTGTCATGCATTAATTAATTAAAGCTTTCAATCATTGTTTGTCAATCATTGTTTCAATAAAAGACAGTGTCTTACAGTATGTACAAATCTTGTCCATTATTTTTCTTAACAAATAAGATTGAACTCCTTATGTTGCTCCTTAACAGAGAAATTTCCGTACAGTCTCACAATATCGATCTATCCAATGCAGCTATTTGTAGCCTTGCCTGTTCGAGTGCATTTATGAAGAAAGAAGTAACTTGAAGTTCCTAGAGTTTCTTAACTTAGAAAATGAGAGGGGGAGGGGGGGGGGTCAGAATCATTCAGATGCCTAAATCATCAGTGCCGTATGGGTATACCCAGTGGGGGATACCGTATGGGTATTCCCCGTTCGATCCCGGTAGAGGATGCCCATACAGCAAGTTATAATTATATCAAGTTAAGTTATGCCGGACCGTCGCAGCACGAACTTTCGTGAAGAGTACAATTCCTTTTAATTAGCAAGGCTTTTATTGTTTTGAGCGTTTTTATTCCAAAGTTTACTACTACTTTCTCCTTTCTGTGTTTTTATGGCTTCCTTGAAAATACTGACACTTTTGTCTTAGCCTGATAGCAACTGATCGTCCTTGGAAAGTTATCTTTTCTAGCATCCTAACCGAAAAAAAAACGTTTCCTCGATGTTTCAGCCGAAGGTGAACTAATAAAAGGTTAAAATAGCCAAAAAAAAACGAAAACAAAAAAAAACAGGGACCTATAATAAAAAGTACAAACGTAAAACAAGTGTCGACCCTGCACCGACCCATAGGAACTCCTTTGATTTTTTATTTGGGTTGGAGGATACCTAAGACGTTCGCGAGCAGGACGTTATCGAAACGATTAATTCATGACGCCAAACTTTTCATGAGGCGAACCTGATACATTGAATAATCATGAATCAGTTAGGAACGCCTGGTTCAATTTGACACAGCTCAGCCGTTCTTTTCGCCTAGCCTGGCTGGGAATTTCGCCTTTGGAACGGCTTTGAATTAGACGCCGAACTTTTCATGTATGGAACCTAATGCATAAATTATTTTACGTATTTTGTAAGTAGTTTGACCGAAAAGAGCATTTTTAGCCTTTTGAATTTAGTTCAGCCGAAATTAAGATCGGCGTGTTTGAATCAATTCAGCTGGTCTCAATAATTGGGTCGTCCTTAATTGGAATTAGGTTCGGCTTATGAAAAGTTCGGCCTCTGAACCGGACCTAAGACACGTTAAGACGGCCCCTTTTGTCGCATCCAACAGTGTCTGTGCGAGTAAACTGTATAGAGTGTTTTCACATGACGTCACGGCGGCCATATTGGTGTCCCAAAACAATGAAATGGCGGCCATGTTGGTGTCCCGAACCAGTCTTGTGAGAGTTGAACTCCTTTCTTATGCAAACGCTTTCTTTTGTTCCAATAAATTTGCATAGACGCTGACCACGTGAGTGAAAACACACTATTGTAGCAGTGTTTAATTAAAGCTAATTAATTTTGTTAGATGTATTATGTATAAGCTCACAATACTTTCTAGACTACAAACAGAACTCGGGGGGGGGGGGGGTACTTCCTTATAAGAGGCTAATGGGGATGTGACGCTGCATGGGGTCACATTTTCACAAATGGATTGACTACAACGAGGCTGCATATGTTTTCAATATAGTTACTAGAATGGGTTTGCACATTTTTGCATTTTTGGTGTAAGACGTCTCATATTAACTGCTAGCAACGTACCGGGATGTTTGTACTGTAGGTGAAAATCAAAGTGTTCTTCATTAGGTTTAAAAAAATGGGTCAATTCATGAAAATAGAAAGTGACTAAGTTGGGATCGCAAAAATTACATATTTGCCCAAAAGTGACTAAGACGGGGTCTATAATTGGTCACAAAATAGACTATAATGGGGTAGGGGCTTTGACAGGCCAGGGCCACATACCCAGCAAAAATTTACCCAAGTATCCCCCACCCCCACCCCACATGAAACAGAACCTTAAATGTATCATTCGTTATAATATTGAATGCTGCAGAAAGTACATTGGTCAAATTTATACAGATAGTCTTGTCCATGATGAAAAAGCTCTTAAATTACTGGTTGACACCATTGGTCAGGTAAAGAGATCAGTGACTTTTGGTTATGATCTATTGAATACACTGTGAAATTTATGCTAGCAAAAATTAACAAGACGTGTACTTAGAATAGGTTATGTCACGCTATTTGCTATCGTTTGTCTTTGCATCAATTGAATTCTAAAAATGGCGGGTTAGATTTGTTATTTCAGACCATATTTTATAGGCATGGAAACCGTTTCCTGTCGTCTGTTTCTAAGAACGGCAAGGATGTTTGTGAATTAAAACTTAGTTTTGATGTAGCCTGCGTACCAAACCAAGCGTTTCCGTAGCAAGCGTTTCGTTTCCACCCCGACAGTGATTTTGTTTTTCTTTTGCGTAGGTTTTTACTAACAAGGTGAAGTTTTAGTAAGCCATAATGAGATTGTGACTTGTTATGTTGATCAAGAACGAGCTGACGTGTGCAAGTCTGAGCCCCCATTAAAGTTGTGTTTTCAACAATCTTCGATTGTGTGCGAAGCGCACTTGTCCCCTGGACAGACATAACATTGAAAAAAAAAAAGATAAACCTTCAAGCTCTCAATTTTCTCATGGCAGCAAGCGTGGGCTCATTATCCTGCATGTGTATTTTTTATTGTTATTATTATCTTTTTCTGTAGGAGAATGTTATTTTAGGAAGTGAAAACCCGTTTCTTCTCGGAGAACATCATCCAGGAAAACTCATCAAGGATGCGTACAAAGACGACCTGGAACTTAGAGTAAGAGAACAATCACATTCAGTTTCACGGTTGTTTTCTTTTTTTTTTTTCTTTTTTTTTTTTTTTGGCCATTGATAAGACGCCGCAGCCGTCGTCGTCGTTGCTTAAACTCCCTCTTATTGTGATCCAGAAATTTTGCTACCATGGTAACGGAGATATGTCCAGGATCGATCTTGTTAGCAAAAATTTGCTAGCCAATTTTCTTCGCAATTGTCGCAAAAGAAATAATTGAGAAAAAATTATGTCAGAAAATCAATCAATCAATCAATCAATCAACTTTATTTAAACACGGTAAATGGCTCAGCAGCTGGTTTTCAGACATGCCGTGTGATAATTACAATTTATAAAAATTAAGACTAGTGATTAACTAAAAATACAATATAACAGCGAGAAAAGAGTATTAGAAATAAGATAAAAACATGATAAAAGTTATATCCTAAGATATGGCGAGTTTAAAGCTAGTAACTTACAAATATCGCAAAAATCGCAAAAATAACAAATCTAACAAGAATCAAGACTTGGAAACAAAAGAAGCCAAGAAGAACCCCGAAATCGCAAAAGTAACAAGGATATTTTTTTGCTAGCTGAAAACGCTCGGCTTCTTTTCTTTCTAAGTCTGGAATTTTGTTACATTTGTTATTTTTGCGATATTTGCGATATTTGTCATGCGTGTTTTTAGCTAGCATGAAAAATCCTCGTTACTTTTGCAATTTTTGCGAAATTCGCGGACATTTCGGGGACCTTCTTGGCTTCTTCTCTTTCTAAGTCTTGATTCTTGTTAGATTTGTTATTTTTGCTATTTCTGCTACATTTGTTACTCAATCTTTTCACTTAGCAAGGAAAATTCCCGTTACTTTTGCGATTTTTGAGAAATTTGCAGACTTCACGAAGCCCTTCTTGGACTTATCTCTTTGTAAAAGTAGAATTTTTGAAAAATTTGTTTTTTCTGCTATTTTTGCCATATTTGTTACTCAATCTTTTCACACAGCAAGAAAAGTTCTTCTTACTTTTGCGACATTTGCTATTTCTTCTATACTTTTCTGATAGCAGTTTTGTTTATCTTTTTTGCTTAAATTGCGAAAACAATTTGCTAGCAAATTTTTGCTAACAAGATCGATCCTGGACATAAGTGTGGTAACGTGACGTCACACTTCTCCTCTCTATAAACATTGGTATCGCTTGATTACAGTGGAACCTCGATTACGTTCGCTAAAACGAGGTTTGGTTATATCGAGGTTCTTTTCCATACATTATACTGTAACTGGGGCAGAAAATGGTTTCGTTATATCGAGGTTCCACTGTACGAAAGAGAAATAAAAATAGGTCTCACCCCTCTCCCCAGGTTTTGATTTTTGTCCCAATACCCCACCCCCCCCCCCCCCCCCCGCCAATTCTCTTTTGAAGAGGTTTAGTCCTACCCTACTTTAGTAGATTGTTCTACATGTACTTGGCAATTCAACAGTTGATCAACAAATATTAGCGGAGATCGAACAAAATGGTTCTCAATTAATTCCCTGTTATTTTGGAAAATAGGTGGAGTAATTGCTAAGGGGGGTGTATTTGCCCATCATCCAATCTCCCGTTCATCATTCGATTCACAGTCCCCTAATTTTCCGTAAGATGGTCGGGCGTTTACGGGCGGCAATCTTGGATAGGTAAAGCCCCACGCCCGCTCCCTCGGTTCATGTTTACTAGATAACCATCCGTCTGTCGATCTTACGAAGATATAGGGGACTGTAAATAGTCTAACTTCAGATAAAAACCTTTTAATTCAAAACCCATCTCTTGTTGTAGGATAAATTGTTAGGCGGAAATGCTCTAAGATTTCTTGGATTGAAAAGGTCGCAGTTTGACGAAGACCCTGAGGATAAAGCGGATACAGTAGAAAGCTAATAGTGCAGCGGACTGAATAATTAAATGTTTTTCTGTTAGTTATAGAATGAAGTAACTTTTAAAAGTAAATAGACTAATATGTCTATAAATGCATTTAGACGGAGGTTATTTATAATGTCCTCTGTTTTTCGGCATCTTGGTGTCTTGCTTTTTTAAAAGAGCCTTACCGAAGGAAACAAGTCTAAACTGTGTTAATTATTGAAACAAGTTCTTATTTATTCGTAACTATTCTTGTACTTTATTTTGATGACTATGATATACTTGTGAATACGTTATTTAAAGCGGTTAAGGATGGCTTTACAGTAAAAGTACAGTTAAAAAATACTGATTTATATTCAAGTGCAGAACGCAGTTGATGTTAAGCGCATTGTTACTCGATTAGCCTTCTTTCAGTGAAGGTCAGTCTCGATCCTCAAACGGAAGTCATAACGCAATTAACTACAGTGGAACCCTGTTAATGTTACCACCGTTGGGCCATAAAATCCTAGTCGTAAAAATGAGGTGGTCGCATTAACGGGTGATTTTCGAAAAAAATAAAAATCAAAATAAGCCTGATTTCTATGTTTGAATCGAGAGAATATGGTCGTAATAACGAGGTGGTCGTATGGCGGGGCTCCACTATGTTGCTATTAAAATTAATAAACAGGCGAGCCTGTACCCTAAAATAATTCATGCCAGACCGTACGAAGTGGGTCTGAGTTTTGTAAAAAGAGAAACTAAAACTCGTCTTTGGGCGTTCGCATTGCACGACTTAGTTGAGTAGAAAATAGTAATAAAATGTATAAAAATGTTTTTATCCATTTTCATTGTCTGTTTTGCTATTTAAAAGCTGGTTTACACACAGAGTGTGGCCAGTGTCTCCTCAAATAACAAGCACTTGAGACGACCCATACGATATCACGCTGATCACATAGCCTTCAAAACCTCTTCATTATGATAGACAGTTTAAATGGAGGTTTCGCTGTACGCAACCCTTACGTTTAAAATATGCCATAATCATAGTTATCTATCGCAAGAACCATCCACCCTTTCCTCTCAACTGCTACCTGTACGCCTAGCAAACATATCGAACGCACTCTCCTAAGCTCCAATTACTCCTAGTACAAACATAAGTTTAATTTTAATTTCAGTGGCTGTAACATTGCCAAATGAGAAAGTGATACGTCTTAAGCGTGCAAAGATATAGCTCTGTAAAGTTGCAAAAATTGACGGACGTTTTTACGAGGTGGGGGGGGGCTGGGAGAAGCAAGTTTGTGCCCGGCCCCCACCATAACAACGTCTGTAAAATTTGGCGACATTGAGGAGCTATATGTTGGTTAGTTTTCAACAAATCCGACTTTTAGACTTTGCAATTTTTCTAATTTAACGACGTCCTTTCCATAGGTTTCTTTAGCTTGTCCATGTCAAATATTGAAAATAACGTGCAATAGTCCATTCTGAATTGAAAGAGGTATCCTTTTGGGCAGCGCTTCCCCGTTAGGTTATTATAGGGAGCCTTCCCAACCCGCCTTCAAAGTATATGATATGGGAGTTTAAAAATAAACACATAAACTCTAGACACGTTAAGGCATGTTTAGCTGGAGCTTAATGGAGCCGCTACTTTTTCTGACAGTAACATATAGTCAACTTGGATTGAAAGCAAAGTTATTTTTTTGGCTTTTTGGCGCACTAAAAAGGAAAGGAATCGGATACCGTTAGAAACACAAAGTCATGATAGCATGCATAAGACTTGCTTTTATAATTAAAAGTAGCTTTTTTAAAATTTGTGTTCTGTAATTAATTTTTGGAATGTTCATCTTTTGACCCTGTTTCAGTACCCTAAGGCTGGCTTAAAAACAGAGAATAAGACCATCAAAAAAATTGCCATAAAAGGTAAAAGAAACAAGCAAAAACAAACAGACAATATACCGGAACAGCTGAGGATTTACTTAAAATATTTACTATAAAATGAATGAGCACGTAGCACGCACTGATTTCAGAAAACGCTGTGTTCTCGTTCAATTCTCACCGCCATGGTTCAGTATTTCGCTGTTTTCCTGATTCTCTCTCTTTTTGGCGGCTCTCTCGTAACAACCACCTCACCTCAGCAACAAAACGCCACAGAGTTAAAAGACTTATGCCAGGTAAGAAATGCATAAAGATATAAAAAGGAGTACTGCGCTGTAGATTAGGTACACCAAGAAACTGTTTTACCATATATAGTCTCACGTCGTTATGATCATTTACTAAATGGTACCCGTTAACAGTGTATGGCAGTTTATTTAATCGTACTCGCTTCAGCATGATCTTTTCTCGAAAACCTGAAGCCTGTCCATTGTTAACTGTTAATTTTCTCTGATATCCAAGTCTATTAGAGGCGAGATAACGCTTTAAATAGGATTATGATGTCCAAGGTCCATTCCGTGCCTCGAAAACAAGGGAGACGGCCGGCGGGTAGAGACTTTGTTCATTTTGGTGTGGAATCATTGTTTGCGAGGAAGCTACGGGCGTGTATGAACGGAATTATCCTTTCATTTTCAAAGGAGAATTAATGTAAGTAAAAATGACATGCATAAATTCTTAGAGGCAAGGTCTGGTTTGGATTTTAGAGGCCAAGTCTGGAAACGGGTGTAAAAAGTGACGTGTCTTGGTCTGAAATAGAGTCAGGATTTGGAGAACCGGGCGGCACATCCCCACCAAGAATTGCCAGGAGTACATCCAGCCCCCCACCCAGTTATTAAGATCCGTGTCCTCTTCCTCTGTGCTAATTACAAGTCATCTTTACTTTCAGCGATCTATGCTGGGTTTCCCTGGTATTCCAGGATCAAATGGTATACCGGGAGTGCCGGGCGTCCCGGGGCCACACGGACCCCAGGGAAGAGAAGGTGTAAAAGGACAAATTGGTGATAAAGGATCACAAGGAATGCCGGGTCCAAGAGGAGACAGAGGGCGCGAAGGACCCTCTGGGAAGAGTGGACCCCGAGGAATTAAGGGAATGAAAGGTGAACAGGGACTTCTGGGAATGAAAGGAGAGCCAGGCATTGTGGGAAATCCAGGAAGAAAAGGAGACAAAGGAGAGAAAGGAGAAAGCGCTAAAGCAAGTCAAGCAAGTGTGGTACCACAAACCAACTGGAAACAATGTGTGTGGAAATCATCCAGCGGTACTGAAAACGGAAAGATTAAGGTAATTAGAATAAGAATACACTCCAAGGGAAAGTAATTCGTTTCTAAATTAACATATTTCAAAGAAGAACGTCTCCCTTCTCACTCACTGTTTGCCAACACATTACATAAATAACTAAGTTACATTTCCCGCTACTTTGGTTCTTTTTGAACGAAAAAAGGAAAACTATTGTGTGCGATAAAATAATTCTTGGCCATATATGGATAAGGACAACAAAAATTTAATCTATTACAGAGTTTTTAAACATTAGGAAGTAATCTTGACTGGAGTTGTTAGCGTCAATAATTACACACGGTTGCTTGCGTCACTACAATATATTTGATTTGTTTGATTTTATTCCAGGACTGTGCGTTTAACAAACTGCAGTCCAATTCAGCGCTCAAAGTCTCATTCCAGGGAAACATGAGGGTCGTGGGTAATTATAAGTGTAACCGGTGGTATTTCAAGTTCAATGGAGATGAATGCAGTGGACCAATGACGATTGAGGCTGCTGTTTACAACGAATGGTCATCTGGGAACCCTAATCTGCTGCATCATCGGTCATTTGAGGGGTACTGTGAAAACATCTCACAAGGGGCGGTCAGAGTGGAATTATGGGTAGGAAAGTGTGGTGGCCGAGCCTTGGGGGATGCTCACACCGGGTTTGAATCAGTGTCCCGGATAATGATTGAGGAAGTATCTAGGCCCCAGTCCTAATAGGGGAAGTCTTTAGTTTTGGCGTTGTTTTAATTTCCTTAGAAAAGCTTTCTTCAAATATAGACTGTAAAGCGCATGGTGCGAAAGTATTGTTTTCGGTTATTTTTTTTTAGCCCATTGTGGCTACTTTGGTCGTATAAAAACACAATTTTGTATTATTATGTCGGCATGTTAGTCTTATTCGTGCACTTTTGTGCAGCAGTTCTTTGTTTTGTCACGCAACGCTTCTTTAGTTCCTTTGTGGGGAGGCAGCTTTCGTGACGATACAATAATCGGCTGAGCTCGTAGGGAACTAATCCCCCATACAGCCGTTTTGTCTTGCTACGCAGCGTTCCTTCCCGTTGGGTGACGAGATAAAGCTAAAGATGACTGTGATAGAGAGCGATTGATTGGCAATCCTTTTTTATGTGATACGTTATGGAAGAAAGATATATATCAATACAGCATATATCTCAGGGGAACCCATTCTCCTTTGGGTAATATAAGCAAGTACACCATCGGATTTTCGTTCATTTCTTGAAGTCTATAAATATGAAGTCAAAGTTTAGGCCTTGATATAATCTTTCATCTCAGCGAAAGAAAAAAAAAACTGCTGAAGAAAACGATTTAATTAAATGATTCTGGTGAATAGAGAGGAGAAGTCGTTATGTCACGTTGCCATGGTGGCAAAATTTTTGGACGACAACAAACCAAAACGCCACTTAAAAAGTGGATTCGCACAGTTTCAAACTTCCTTGATCTTATTTAATTTTATTTAATTTGTAAAAGGTGGGCGAAATTTTCTGGGTTAAATACGAAGGGAGTGTATGTAAGTTTAGAAAAAGAAAAACAAAATTTTTGCCTTGCGTTCACCGACTCCTTAAAGCGGGCGTGTGAAATTAGGAAGTTTCATGTCGCGATCGTGCAACAACGGCTAAAAAATGTACAAAAAAGTGTGATGCACGTGCAAAGACGTTTTTTTGCTGTTAGCCGTCGCCGTTGCAAAGAGCCCCTATTGTTGTCATAAATTTGCTACCATGGTAAGGTGACGTCACACTTCTCCTCAATCAATGCACGATTCCCAGTTTGTATCTAAACACTTCAAGGCAAAACCATTATTAAAATCGGATAAGAATTTTGAGGATAAAAGTCGCACCTTGTAAAATTTATAACAATTATCTGGAAAGATGAGCATGATTTTAGGATAACGTGATTTTCTCCTGCCTGCGTGCCAGCGTTCGAAAGGGAAGAGAAGGGAATTTAGGAGCGAGACCGCACGTGGGGGAGAAGGGAGGAGAGGCACGACCCCTTTCCTTCTTTCTCGCGCGCCCTTCGTGCTTCCCACGCGCCAATATCCTCTCTCCCTTCCCTTTGACAGACCAGATTATCTCTCAAACAGTGGGGAAAAAATTGAATGTTTTTACTCGTAACATTGATATTCTTTTGTTTAGTTAAGGTGAAAAAAACACTGCAAAACCGTGTACGAACAATCTTGCTCAACATCGGATCCAAAAAGATCGTGATCAGTCAAAATATATATAATTGAAAACGTTACAGTCAAGAAGACTTTTGCAGGGACTGATCAAACAACGTGAAATAGAGTTAAGTTGCGATATTTCGACTGGCCAATACCAGTCTTCTTGTCAAACCTTCCCATTAAGTATGTTTATAGCATCTTTGTTATATTTCTTTCATGTCAGTACTTGTGTAGTTTGCTTCTATGTGTTATTAAAGCTCGAGTGAAGCTCCATTTTGGGCTTTCATCATTTTTTCTTGTTTTGTCCGCCATCTTCTTTCATTTTTACTTAAACATATGTGCTTAACATTAACACCATTTTAAGACGTCACACTGTGCCTCTTAAGGTCACGTGACCAGCCACACCCATAATTATGCAAAATTTAGTATTTTCAGATTACGCCATGAAAATGACTTGTGAAGCTCCCGTTTATTTTTCCATAGTGTTAAGTTTAAAGGCATATGAGTCAAATTAAACGAGGAATTGCAAAATATTTTATCCCTATGCAATTTTCAAATGTTTTCTCCTCGACCCAGTCCCACTCTCAACTGGAAACGTTATAGTTCACGCAAAACAAAAAATTTTGAAAAAGCCCTATTAATTCCATAAACCTTCTGTTAATAGTCATTGAAAGAAAACAAAATAAACCACCGCTAGTATTTGTGAAATGTCGTAAAATTGGACTAATATAGCTTATTAGCGACAACGGATAAGAATATTTTTTAAGAAGTATTTACCGCATGCAAAGTTTCAAGACGAAAAGTTAAACAACTAGACCACCCCCTTACAAATTTCAAGAGACCCATTTCTTGATTCACCCGAGAGCTTTCAATAAGAGACCATCCATTATTTTTTCCTAACAAATAAGATCAGAGAGATTAATTGAACTCATTATGTCCGCTCCTTAACAGAGAATTTCCCGTACAGTCTCTCAATATCGATCTATCCAATGAAGCTGTTTGCAGGCTTTCCTGGTGATTAAAACAAAAATAAAAAGCCCCTGACAATGATATGAACGATTTATGTTTTGAAAAAGTTAAATATCGAAATATTTTTGATGAAAGGAGGAAGTAGTACTTAGTTCCCAGGGTTTCTTTCCTTAGAAAATTGGTGGGGGGTGGGGATCATTTGGATACCTAAATTACCAGTGCTGTAAATTACCCGGTACAGGATACTGTATGGGTATCCCCTACCGGGTACACCGTATGGATATCCCCTACCGGGCATACCATACAATAAGTTATAGCAAGTTAAGATGTCACAGTACGAACGTCCGTCAAGAGTACAGTTTTCTTTTATTTCAGCAAGGCTTTTATTTCTTTGTACGTTTATAAATACCATCAGTGTAACGACTTTATCTTTTTTGCTGTGTTTTTGATGGTTTGCTTGAAAATACTGACACTTTTATCTTAGCCTGATAGCAAACATGGCCGTTGGAGAGCAGTCGGTTGTACCATCCTAACCGAAAGAACGTTTCTTTGATGTTTTAGCCGGAGGTGAACTAATAAAAGGTTAGAATAACCAAAAAAACATTGCACCTATGATAAAAGAGCACCAACGTATAACAAACTGGATCATTGGATAATGCAATTCTAGAGCTCTGACTGGCTTAACCATCAGTATATGAGCCATTGTACCATTCTCTCTAAATATCGTAACTGTAGTGTCTGCTTAAAATTAAAAACAAGCTGAAAATCGGATTTTTTTACAAATCAAGTCGGGAAGAACTCTCGATATTTCGTTGGCGTTTTTAATAAAACAATCATTCCACTTGTCCTTTTTTTTTAACTGTTGGACATAGCCAACTCGGCACTAGGCGCGTCGATTCATAGGAGCTCCTCTGATTTTAAATCTGGGTGGAGGGAAACCCAAGGAGGATGATTCAATAACGTTTGTGGTATAGTAAATAGCCGTCTTTGCCCAGTAAGAATACACCTGAAATAATAAACAAAGGAACTAAGCCTAAGTATCCAACGTCGTGGCTTATAAACCCAAGGCTTCTTGCAGTATTATATAAAAACATGCACGTATTACATAGTGATAACTGCATGCAAACCACCTTTCACAACTAACGACAAGGCGTAAGAATCACCGAAATATATCTATAACGAAGTAAATTGTACTGTTCTAAACGAATAGAGATAAAAGTAGTTTGCCTTAGTGCTTGACGACGTCGTGACCTTTCAGCCCTAGGAATAAGTCAAGCCGAAAACAAAACTGAATCGTTAGCAAAATTAAATTTTCCGCTTGCATTACTAAAGAAGTTTCATGTCGCTATACCGTTTACAGAAAGGAAAAAACATATATACGCTTAATTTCACCAATATCAGTAACTTTTGCATAAAGCAATTCAAAAAGATGGTGTACTATTTAGACTGCGAAAGTTTGATACCATGCAATGCAAAACTGATAATCTACAAATCATCCAAAGGCATCCTGCCTCACTTAACATATTGCCATCTGGTATGGCATAATCATACGAAATCCTTTTGGTTCGTTCAATACTTAATCGAAGACTGCAAGATATTGCTATATTACTGTACAAAGTAAAATATGGCCTCGCGCCGGGTATTGTTTAGCCTCCCCGCAGACGTCCTTTGGGGTTCGTTTGTCACGCATTCATTTCTCCCTCACGGACGTCTGCTAAACACAGCCGACATTTACGTACTGGATTCAGGTTTGAATAAGCCAATAAGCGGTTAGTTATTGTGTGACGGTCAGCCAATCACGGGCTGTGATATAAGTGAAACGGCACCTACGAATTATTTCTCGATTTTTTAGAGGAATATTTATTCTATGCCTATGCATGGGTGAGACTCCGAAGAAAGTTATAAGAAGCGAATTTTTTTGTTTTCTTTGCAGCTGTGATTTAGGAAAGGACCAAGTTCGTGTGTTTAGAAAAAGCGCAGTTGACATCGCAAGGCTCAGCAAACGTGCTCTGGACGTTGACCTTTGTATTCTCAAGTGAATTATTTATTTGCACAGCTATCTTCTACCTGAGACGACTCAAACGTTTTGAAAAAATCACAGAAATGATGCAATAAAGCTGCAGTCAGCTGTATAGTTTTTCGGAAGTTGTGACTATAAAATAGTCTGCTCAGAATCTGCTTTTCTTTGAAAGACTTCAGACAACGTTCTCCCACACGAGCGCGGAGCGGTTTTTAGCGCCGTCGAAAACAATAATTACTATTAACTCTGTATTTATTCGAAGTATTAATAAAAAAGAGAACTCGTAAACGTGTATGGGGAAGATTTTCAAAGCATTCTTCGAAAACAAAGGCCCTTTCCTTTTTTGCGAAATGTAATTCCACCAAGGTCATGGGTCGCGGACCAAGGACCAGTACGCGAAATTTGGTTATATTATTTCATGAGTCGGTAAAACAAAAAATTCGAAGTCTACAGCGATGCGCTTCCAAAGGCAGAAAAAGGTTTATCTGAAAACTTGTTCTGCAAAAAGGCACGTCTTCCCGTTGCGTTTTATTTATTCACAAGCTAAGTAAACAT